TGACAAGTGCAATATTATTCAGTGGGGCCAATAGAGACCTTATCAATTTGGGCAGGAAACAGAGACTTGATCTGATTTACATAGAGAGATTACCCGTGGTTTGTCTGCCTCTATAAGGCTTATACCATAGGATGCAGCGGTGCTGATGGACAAGGCACTGCATCTCTTTGCATCTTAGTTTCATCAACTATGAAAAACAAGGGACTGGAATATAACATTTCTAATAGTCCGTCCTTCTCATATTGAACAAATAGTTTCTGTACTCAGACTGGGCCTATCAGGAATAATAATAATAAAATAATAATAATAATAATAGTAATAATAATAATAATAGTAAGTGTTCTAGGTTTTAGCTGTGTGCCAGAACTGTTCTAAGAATTTTATAGGTTGAACTCATTTAATCTTTACAATAGTTTATGAGATAGGCTATTATCACCTTCACATCACAGATAAAGGAACTAAGGCCTGGAAAGCTTGAGTGCCTTGTCTGATGTCACAAAGCCAGGAGGCAGCAAAGCAAGATTCTAGCTGAGCACTCTGGCTGTCGTCCTCATAACTACTATGCTATGCTGTTCCCTCTAGGAACTACGTTCAGTTGCTAATAATGGAGAATGGCTAAAATAAAATAGAAACTTATTCTTCTCTCCTATAAAATGAGATCAGAGATAGTCATCCGAGAGATGTGTGGTGACCTCAAGAATCATCCATGACCCTGGCTCTCCCCATTCTTTTGTTCTGCCATACTGGTTATAGTGTGCCCGTCCTCCCAGTCACAATATGGCTACTAGGGCTCTGGCCATCAGGACCACATCCTAGGAAGGTATCAGAAGTAGAATTGAGAGAGCAAAAGGCTATGCCCCTTTAATGACCTTTCCTAGTGACTTCATTTTGTATCTCTCATCAGCCATCCCTATCTGTTAAGAGAGGCTAGGGAATCTAATTTTCCAGGTAGGCATACCTAAGGAAGAAAGGGAATGGATATTGAGGAAACAATCAGCGTTTTTTTTTTCATACCGAGGGACTGATATGTGGGTTGTGCTGAAGGAGCATCACAGAAGAGGGAGGCCAGTAGATGCAGAGAGGGAGGGCTACATAACCACCCTTTCTATAGGAAAGACTCTTAACTCCTTACATAGAGGTCCAAAGAGTAACTGTCGGCAAAGGCCAGGAACCATGTTCTAGAAGCACAGCTTCCTGCACTACCTAGCCCCCATCAGTCTGGTTTCTGTTAGACTCCGACTGCTGAAAAATCCCAGGCACATTTTCTGTGAGAAAATGCTTGTGTTCAATGAACTTATCAACAAGGAAAGCAGCAGAGGAGATGGCTGGCTGGGATGGTGGTGTCACTGAGTGACAGCAGCACAGTTCAGATGTTTGTGGACCTAATGAAAATGTGACAGATAAGACAATTTTTTAAAAAATCATTGGCAGTGTAGTTATATGATCCTACGTAAATTTTCCAAGAGATATGGCTATTCTCTAGACGGGAACTTTAGTCCATGTCTCTCTTTATGGATTTAAATTAATAGCGGAAGTTATTCTAATTTTAATAAGAAAATCTAGAGAATATAATCCAAATGAAACGAAGAAATACAGAAAATGTAGTATATGAAACAATTTTATAAATTATGAAATTTGTTATAAAGTAATATTACTACAAAAATATGGATATTTTTCACTCCACCTATTATATTTCTCTTTGTAAAACTCTATGTTTATTGATTGCTGTGTAACAAACTACCCCAACACTAACTAGCTTAAAACAACAACAATCGCATTTACTTATGATGCATGTGGTTCCGGAGCTCAGCTGGGCAGTTTTTGCTCAGAGTCTCTTACTCAGTGACAGCCAGACAGTGGCTGGGTCTTGAATCCCCGGATGGCGTCCTCACTCATATGTGTGATGTCATAGCCGAGAATACTCAAACCGCAGGTGATTCAGGACTCCAAAGGTATCGCTTATACCACATTGTGTTCACGGAGGCGGTCACAAAGGACCACCCATCTCCTGATGGGGATGTGGCAAAGTTCTGGAAGAATATGTAGGGTGGGCAATTATCGCTGTGACCATTTTTGAAAAACAGAATCTGCCACATTCCAAATGCATAGGTCTGCCTTATCATCACAGCTTCTCATTTAATTATCCCAACAACTCTAGGAGATGGGATGAGATTTTTTTTTTTAAGCTGAGCCATCCTGCCACCTGTTGGCAGCTCAGCGGCTGCTCAGCTCGGGCTGGACTCGAACCGCTGTTGCTCAGAGCTCAAACTCTTGAGCAAGCTCTTAACCAACTGAGCCACTCAGCCGACCCTGAGGGATGAGATTTTTATCCCCGTTTTACAGATGAGAAAACTGAGGATTTCAATAGTTAAGTCATTGTGCTAATGAGTAGCGACTGGGTTTCTTTCCACCCCAGCTCTGTCTGCATGTAAAGCATTTAACCCAGTCTAGGGCACATAGTGTGCCATCCGTACATGCTAGTAGCTATTGTTACTTCTGATAACACAGACTACAGAGAATTTAGTTAGTTCTCCCCAAGTTTTCAGAGTAGACGTCCTCAACTTAGCATCTACAGGCCTCTTGTAATCTGCCTGTGGTACAAACCTGGGCCCTGAAGTCATCCTGAAACTGACTTTATTTTACACATGTGGTAGTTCATAACTGTTAGTTAAGAAGCAATAAAAAATAATAAGGGGTGATGTAGTAGATTTTTCTGGGTTCAAAGGCTATATACCTCCCCTTTCTCCCCCTTCCTCAAACCCTTTGATAGGGAACCATAGGTATCCTACAATTTACTTCCATTAACGTCAAGTTTAAAGGATAGGTGAAAATCCAGTGAGGAGAGTTCTTTTGGCTTCTGGCTGAGTTAAATCCAGTCCTTCTTCTACAGCAGGCTAATTCTGTGGTCAAGCTGTGTCCAGAGGTTTATTTTTGCCTTGGCCAGGTAGCTTTTCCCTGCCCCATAGCCACATGCCACCCTCTTCACCTCTGTTAGGAAAACAGTTTAAACCACATTGATCACTGGAATCCAATTCATCTGAAGGATGATAGAAACATTACTAATTATTGCATGTCAGCTAAGTTTCAGCCATTATGTTCTTCCTTCAAGGTTTGTTGATTTGTAAGATCCCTTGAGTAGAAGAGTATAAAGGGCAAGAAAAACATGGTTTTCTTTCTTGGTATGTATCATACTGTGCAGAAAACGACAAAAACACTAGACTTAACTGTCCACAAGTTAGATAAACACAAAATTTTTAAGATTTTTCTCCTTAACATTCTGCAGTTTCACCCCGGTAGGACTAGGTATAAATCTGTTTTGTTGATTAGAGGATTTCTGTCTGTTTTCAATTCTGGAAAATTATCAGCTGTTATCTCTGAATATTGCCACTTACTCATTTTACATTCTTTTAAACATTCTTTTAGATGTGAGTTGGGCATCTTCATATCTCCAGGTTTCTTAACCATGTTTTTCATATTTTTACTTTTTTTTAAATCTCTTTGATTTCCTTAGACCTGTCATAGTTCATGAGTTCTCCAGTTGTGTCTAATTTATTGTTTCACCTGTCCATTGAGATTTTTCTCTTTATTTTAGTGACTACATTTTTATTTCTAGAAGTTCTGTTTGGTTCTTTTCTGAAATTTTTCTGATCTCTTTTTTCATACTCTTCCATTTTTTTTATCATGGATTTTATACCTTTTATTATATCTATATATTAACTCTGGGGTTTTACATCATTCTATTGTCTCTGATTCTTATTTGGCTAATTCTTCTGCATGTTGAATCTGTTAGTTTACCCTCATAGTGGTTGGTTTCCTCATATGGTTTGTAATTCTTTATTGTGAGCTCATCTTTAGCAGGGGCTGTTCTGTCTTTGGGTGGCCCAGGGGCCCTGATTGAGAAACTATCCCTCCAGAGCAACTTTACATTTATTTCCATCTGAGACCTAGGGATTTCAATAATCTTAGTCTGGTTTTTAAGTTAATTGGAGCACTCACAATAGAGGGATGTAAATTTGTAACTCATACCTACACGTGGTATGAGCCTAGCATTTCAGTTTCTTTAGGTGACTTTCTTTCCTGATAATGGCCCCCAGCTGATACCGAACTTCCATTCCACCTCTCTGGACAGTTTGCAGCCTTTTTCTCGACCTCTTTTCAGAGATGGCAAAGCTTCTCAAGGCTCTGAACTGTATGCAGGTGGCATATCCAGAGCCCTGCTTAGCCCTGGCCAACGCTAAATCGCTTACTTGTGTGGGCATGGAGCCTACGCACCCCCCTCCAGCCTCCAGGACCTGGAATCAAGATCCTAACAGGCAGTCTTCATGACAGCTGCCATGTCACCAGCTCCTGCTATCACTCTGATTTTTATTTTCTCCTCCTTTGGGGTGCCTGGGGTTTCCCGTTCTCTTTCAAAAACTTTTTGTTGTACTTTCCCAGCACTTTCATGTGTATATAGCGGGGGAGAGGGTAGGAGACTGAAAGGCTCCTGATCTATCTGCCATGTTGCCATAACTCACAGTTTTTCCTAAGCATGAGCATTTCCGTTCTGCCATGACCTGAGTTTGAATCTTGCATCCACCACTTCCTCACAGTGTTATCTTGGGCAAGCAACCTAACATTTCTGAGCTTCAAGGACAAAACAGAGATAAACACAGACTTTCTAGGTTTGTTGAGAAAATTAACCTGATAATGTATGTGAAACTCCTTGAATAGTTCCTGACACAGAGTGAGTCAGAGCATCAGTATTGCCTGGGCATCTTTTCAAAAATACAGATTTCTGGGTGCTGCCCCTTAGAGATTCTGCTTCATTAAGTCTGAGGTGGGGACCAGAAATCTGCAAGTTGAAAACCTACACAGGTGATCCTGATAGGCAGTCAAGTTTGCAAACACTCCTAGGGGTACTCAAGAAATATGAATAGTACCATCATCCCGTATTTCTAAGCACTTCAAACTCCTTTGAAATAAAACCTCATTTTTTTCCCCCACCCTGGTATTTGCAGATGCGGTGAGGCTGTAGAGAAAAACAAGCGTCTCATCACGGCAGACCAAAGGGAGTATCACCAGGAGCTCAAAAAGAACTACAACAAGCTGAAAGAGAACCTCAGGCCCATGATCGAGCGGAAAATTCCGGAACTCTACAAGCCAATATTCAGAGTTGAGAGTCAAAAGAGGTAAGAACCAGGCAGAGGAGGCCTCTTCCTGGGGGATAAAGGACAGGGCTTGGGGCCCAGCAGTCAGGGCACGCTCAGCTGCACAGAACCTCCAAGGGCTGGGAGTGGGCCTGAGTCAGAGAAGCCGCCAGAGCTTGATCTGTTCTCCTTCATCCTGATCCTCCCTGCTCTTTCTCCTGACCTCACTGGGACTCCTTCCTCTTGGCCTCTTGCCAGCCGTCTTCCCAGGGCCAACTTACCGCCTGTGTTTTTTCTGGCGCGGTGTAAAAGGATCTCAGCACCTTCCCTTATTGACTTATTTACCGAGTTCTCCATGATTGATGTCCTTTCTCGTGGGTGATTTTCCCCCCTTCCCTTTCTTTAAAAGGCTAATTGATCTTTCTTAACCTCTTTCATTTTTTCTCTCTCTCTTTAATTTCAGAGACTCCTTCCACAGATCTAGTTTCAGGAAATGTGAAACCCAGTTGTCACAGGGCAGCTAAGAAAAGCTGTCTTCACCCATGAAGACTGAGGCCCTGCGACCCTGGAGAAGGACTCGCTGGTACTTAAAACATAGGACATTTGCCATCAGAACAGACAACTTGCTCCCTGAGCAGACAGCACTCGAAAAGCTTTGGGATCCAAGTGACCACAGGAATTCCTCCCAAATGGGGTCTGACCAGGTTTTGGCCACACTGGGGAGGTGGGGGGGAGTGGAAGAGGGTTAAAGAAGGGTAGCTGTGTATTTATTAAAGCGTGGCTTTTCCCAGTATTGTATAAAACAAGGCATAAGCAGTGTGTCCTGCTGAGCAGTCAGCCATGGTCGCCCTGAGAGAGGGCTTCCTTTGGCCCATATTTGGATTTACAGGATGCATTCATATTGTCCAAGGAGAAATGGAAAAGATGTCCACCGTCCTATTCAACGGGATCTTCACTCATCCCCTCTTTGCGGAAAAAGAGGGTGAGCTTGCAAAAGTGTAAAACGTGTTCAATAAATCTGTGAGTGGAGGCCTGCCTAGAAATCTAAACATCATGACAATGATTGCAAACTTGAGGCTAGGCTAATCATTTGTGAGCTTGTTACCCTTTTGGTAGTGGTGGACTACTTGTTGTATAGTTATTTTTGCTTAGGTGTTACTGTTAATTTAACATGTGTTTATAGAGGAGCACACTTGAAGCCCTGATTTAGGAGGTACATGGTACTCTGAGAAGCCAGCCAAAAGTCATGGATGAGGCATTCACTTACATTGAAACAATTATTCTATAAGGCTTTGCATCTTTTCTGATGTGTGTGCTCACTCACTCTTTTTCTCCTCCTCTCTGGGACCAAGTTAATTTGTATAAAAGGATATTATCTCTGCTCTCCTTTCAGAACACTGTGCTGTCTGTCAGCATATGTACATCACTTCAAGAATACAGTCAGCTTGAAGTATTTTAATTACTTTAGGGGAAAGATGAACAAAATTATTGTTTGAGAATTAAATTATATATTTTTAATATGGCTGATTACCTTGACTGGTACTAAAAATGTAATAAGAATTGTAAACAAAACGTGTCCCATTGCAACTTGTGTTTTTTGGGTTTTTTTTTAGATTTTTTTTTTAATTGGGGAATTGGGGGGATGGGAACAGTGCTGGGGAATTGGGGGAAGGGGAACAGACAAGTT